AGAATGAGGATAACCTCAGCAGCGACAGACTGCCGCCTGGAGGATCGTTGGGATCCGCTCCCCTTACCCAAGATGGTCAGCTTCTAGCCCTGGATACGAGGCGCAGTAAGAAAGGTCAGTGCTGAGGACAGATTCGTTCTCCGTTGTGGTTTTAGGTTATTCAAAAGTGCCATCTTGGACCTATACCATTTCACTTTTCCAAAGAAAAAGTTACAAAAACTGGTAAACAAAAAGTTAGTCAGCATAGGGCTAGGTTTATATACACTGAAATTTACAAGTTTGTCATTAAGTGACTTCTGCCACAGACCACTGCACATTTGTCCCTAACAAAGCAAAAAGCTTGAACCAATGGTCATTAGAAGTGACAACGGGTCATTGCTTTATCAACAAGCATAAAGATAGTAAAAAATAGAACTGTAGCTACTTATCTTTAAATTTGCTGATTGACACAAGCAATCCCTCTCATTTCTGCAACTTCCAGTTGCACATCCTGCTCTACGACAGAGAAAAAACCTGCGTCTGCGCAGGTACTTCTGCCAGAGACCACTTTCCTGTTGACAGGTGAATGCAGAGGGCTGTCATCAACCCCGGCACCGACTGAGAGGGATTCCTCCGAGAAGCTATAGCCCATGCAAGATTCCTTGGCACTTCACACAGGACCAGGAGAGGACAAGGTTTCTCTTTGTTAAAACAGTGTTTTCAGCAGCATTATCCTCTTCCAACAAATTACAGTCTGAATGTGTGTGATGGGTGATTTTCGCATAGCCCCTTCTACCAAGCTGGCTTATCGCTGGCTTTGTGCAGCTAGACCATATGAAGATCCCCACCACTACCTGCCCAGCTGTTAAGGGACTACAGTACTGGAACAGTTTGCTGTCAAGCACTTCACAGGCTTCTTCCGAGGATAACAACATCCTTTGGAAATCCTTCCATTTTAGCAATTTCAAAACAACCCAGCTTGCTGTAAAATTCCAGGATTCTTTTATCATCTGGTCTCACTTCACAAAAAGCCCCACGGGAGCCTGAAGAAGGAAGAAAGAAAGAAACAAAACACTGTAGGAGAAGAGCTATGTAAAAAGCACAGGCATCAAATATTACTAGAGTTCCCACCTATTTTAAGATTTAAACCCAATGAAATCACTGCTCCAATTCCAGATGGAGCACAGTACCCAAAAGAGACCAGATTTATGGCAACATAGCTGACCATCCCCTAAAGGGAGTGCACACTGCAGATGTCTCGTCAGTGTGAACAAACCCTCTGCACACCTTTTATTTTGCATAAAAGCATCCTGAAACTGACATTGGCTCAGAAAATACCACTAGAAGAGGGCACCAAATTGCGCAAAGGAACTGTGAACCTCAGGTGCGCAGTAAGGCAGACAGCCAAGTACTTCCCCATATTGAAGGTTTTGGTAATTACCCACCAGTGCACACTGTCATACATAAGAAAAAGCATCGTTACCAATGCCAGCAGGGGAAATATAAGCATTTGTGTGTTGTTCGAGATGTAAAAATGTGTGCTCTTATTGCCAAATTGCTCCCTCAGTTCTTCCTATTTTCTAATTTGCAGGATAATGGCTGAAGTGAAAACCTACCTTTTCCTGAAGACGGGGGCAGAAGTTAGCTATCCCAAAGCATTTATCATTATTTACAAAAAAAGCAGGAATCGAGTATCTCAGGCTGACAGGCAAACAGTACGTTAATATAACCATCCCAAGCTTGCCTTGCATCCTAGAACTAACATGTAGTTAGGAAACAAAGAATTTTGAGCGTGAGCAGCTTACCATTAGCCTTTAGAGAAGAGAGCAGGCAGGCCATCATGCTTTTGGCCACGCTTGGATCTGTCACTTTTTTGTGGATATCAATCTTTATCAATGATGGGAAGTTGGCAAGGAATGATTCTGGCAATACTTCCTGCTCTTCATGGAAGCTTAGCATTATTTTCTGGAAAGAATATGGGAAACAGACACTTCAACATTACCCAGCTTTTCATTTTCATCCATCTTTATTGAGGGAGCCTGCTTTGCTCACAGACTATAGCTCCAAATCTGCTCACTTTTCAACTACACCTCTGATGGCCACTTTGTTCCTTACCTGCCAAATTGCTCTCTGTCCTCCAGATAAAGAGGCAGGCTACAGAAGTTTCTCAAGACTGCCAAAGGAGGAATGCAAGACTCCTTGTGTGGCTTCTCAGTGACCCACGCTTCAAGTGAGAAAAACCGTAAGCCAACCCGTGACCAACAGCTTGTGCGCAGATTTCCCTTCTTTTTACATTTTACAGGGGCAGTTTTAGCTCTAAGTACCCTAACCTGCCACACGTATTCTTTGGTTCACAGCAGCCTGGAAACATCTCTCATGTCCATGCAATTATCTTAAGACTACTTGCCCCAACAAAGGCAAATTTGTCTCTAGCTCGTCTCTATCTTGTCTCTTGTTGATCACTCAAGGATGTTGTTGATCACTAAAGACTATTGCCATCACCCAGGAAGGTCTTTGGGAATGTGACATCAGATGCTAACTCCATGCAATTCACAGAAACGGAACAATCAAGTGTGGTAACACAGAAGTAGACAAAACCAAATCTGAAATACACTCAAGTCATTCCCCCTGCTGGTTACTGAATTTTAAAACCTTTAGGGAGCACTGGCTCAAGTAAACAAGCCACCTAATTTCATTTCTTATATAACTCTCTTAACAACCCAAATGACGAATTCATCACACAAGGAACTGTATTATTAGCAACCCCCACTTTTTTTTTTTCCAGGTCAAGTTTAAATGCAATCCCCTCAAATCTGTAAAGTGCCATTTCCCAAGCTCTTGCAGGGAGAGTCTCTGTTCAGAATTACTACTTCAAACTTGCTGAGCTACTTCAGGTTCAGAGCCATGCCTGCTCCTCTGGGCTTTTCTTTGTCACAGCTCTAACAGGCACAACCCCACAGAAAGCAGTCAAAGCCAGCCACACTGCCTGCAAGCACCAAGGCAAAGGTGATAATTGTTTCTCCCAACCACAGAAGTGCTACAAGAGGTAAAACAGGTTATCAAGGAGTAGAGTACATGTGGGGCTACGAAGCAGTTAGAGAGATGACGCGTTCATCTTCGGTGATCAATAATAACTAATCTCAGGAAAAGCAGATACCAGATAAGCTTTCCTGACGGGAACCTAGACAAAACTGCAAGACAAGCTCACAACAGTATGACAAGTGAGAGGATTGGATTTTTCTTTTGTAAAACAAAACATTTTATTTATCCCATGAAATTTGGGGTTCAAGATGTATTTAAGTAAACTAGAGAACAACTGAACTGTGTTGAAGTCATCAATTTGAATCAAGTGATCTAAAAAGTACAGAAAGGGAGCTTTTCAAACAAAAGCAGAGACATTATCAAGAGGTAAGAAGTCTGTAATGGTGTCAAAAGGCTAAATAGATAAATCCCACAGCATTTATCTCAAGAACAAAGAGCTCCTCTGTACTCCTGGGAGCATCCCTCAAGACTACAGTCTCAAGAAACACACTTTTTCTAGGATACTGTACCAGCAGCGGGAATCCTGGGTAATGTACCAACAGCAAAAAATGTTCTTAAACATCTCAGTGGAAAAGCTAGTTTATCAGCACAAGATACCTCCTGCTTTCTCTCTGAAATTTGGCTTTAAACTTCTGGAAATCAAGGC